GACAAAACATGGTGCTTTATGTCGGTAGGATGGGGTTCCTTCAAGTCACGCGCCTTGTGATCGAGTATGGGCTGTTGATCCTTTAATTTCGTGTCATGGGCTACAATTGGACACAGCATGGGCTTTTTGGAGCTTTGGTGGAGATTGAAATCCAGTAGGCTTAATGGGACTGAGGTTTGTCATTGACGTTCTGTGGACACTTTCACTCCTCCTTGCGATCTAGTAGAAAATTGTTATCCCGAAACTGCTAGATCGCACTCCTGAGCTTTCACTCCTATGTTGTGATCGAGTATTTGAAATTTTTTTTTTTTTTTGTAAAATTTTCATTTGAACACTCGATCACATCCTTATTGATCACTCCAGCTGTTATTCATTTCCTGAGAATCAAAGACACAACCAAAACGAATCAAAAGTAATCAAATAAATAAAAATTATATACAGGGATAGTCATGGGACTTCCTCCCAAGTGAGCTTGTTTAGAGTCTCTAGCTTGACTCCTCACACTAATCAAGTGGAGAAAATGTGACAGAGGGAACTTGAGAAGTCCTCCTCTTCACTGATATCATCATCATACTCAGCATCCTCCCTTGACAGTTGCACAGCTGAGTACTCAATTCTTCTTTCCTCATAGTAGGCTGCTTTCTCCTCTGGAGGATAGTCTTTCTCTTCTGACCAATCCCAGGCGATCTCCTTTCTTGAAATCGTGTCACGGTTGACCTGGGGCTGAACCTCCTTTTGCATTCGACTTAGTTTGTCTCTAAGCTTTTCAACAGTGTAGCTCAGCTTCTGAATGGTTCTATTCTGCAGATCAGTCTTCCTTTTGAGTTTCAGCCAATCAAGTGAGGAGGGTATACTCGATCGAGTAGTAACTTGACATGCCTCCCAAGGTTGAGATCAATCTTACCATATCTGACATCTATTACTGCTCCCACTGAGGCTAAGAAAGGTCTTCCTAAGATCAGAGGATCCTTAGACTCTTCATCCTTTTCAAGCACGACAAAATCAGTGGGTACCTCAACTCCATCTATCATTACTGGCACTTTCTCTAGAATGCTGAAAGGTCTCCTTGAAGTTCTATCAGCAAGGATCAAGGTGATGTCACAGGGCTTGTACTGAACGAATCCCAGCTTCCTTGCCACAGAGAGTGGCATTAAACTGACTGAGGCTCCTAGATCACATAGACAATTGTTGAAAGTCAATTGCCTAATGGAACATGGCAGAGTGAAAGATCCAGGATCTTCCAGCTTCTCTTGAATAATCCTCTTACCAGCGGTTTGATGCATAATGACATCGTCTTCGTCATCTGAATCCTGATATATGTTGAGCCTTTCTAGTATCAGGTTTCTCACATCTTTGTGAGGGTCTGAAATCAACTTTAGGACTTCTACTAAGGGCATCACAGCTTCCATCTCATCAAGTTGTTTTTCTGCCAGAGATTCATATCTGCTTTTCCAAGCTTTCCTGAACGTCCATGGAAGAGCAAGTGAGGGTGATGGAGCTGGCTTGAATCGTTTTATCATCCTCTCGATTATAGCAGCCTTCTCCTCCAAGTCAGACTGAGCCTGATAGAAAGGTTGAGCTGAATAGTCGATCTCAGCAACAGAGACTTCAATCTGAGTGGAAGCCTCCCCTTCTTGAATTACACTGTCCTCAGTGTTTGATGTAGAGACATGTTGAGTTGGCAGCTCTCGCTCATGTCTGATAGTGATTGCGTGTGCAGTGGCGTACTCCTTAGGGTTTTGGATTGCTTTTCCTGGAAGCTGGCCTGGGTTGTTTGTAACAGGTGGTGAAGTAGTGACGCCGTCCAGATACCGTACCCTTGTGTTCAATGATTCCAACCTGCTACTCAGTTCATTGAACTGTCTGTCAACTTTATTGTTGAAGTCAGCCAGCTTCTTAGCGGATTCCATTACCCTTGCGGCTTGGCCTTGCATGATCTGTTGGAGCATATTCTTGATGTCTGATTCCTGGGGTGCAGAGGCCTGATGTTGTTGTGGTGTGAAACCAGGTGGTGGCTGTTGCTGTTGATACCCTCCTTGGAACTGTTGCTTAGGAACGAACCCTTGGCTTTGGTTGTAAGTAACAAACGGTTTGGGTTGGTTCTGCTGCAGCTGCTGTTGAGGGTAAACTTGGTCCTGAGGATTGGCGACATTTGTGCTTCTATATGACAGATTTGGGTTGGGTCTGTAATTGTTGTACCCTTTGTTGTAGCCGCCTTGGTTCTGAACATAACTGATTTCAGCGCCCTGTTCATTCTCCCCCTCTTGGATTTGGAATACTTCGTCTTCAGAGGCGAAGTGAACATGCTTCTGCTGCACTTGGAGGAGTTTGTCAATTTTGTCATGGAGAGCTTTAATCTCTCGGCGATGCTTGTCATCAGATTCAGTACTGGTGCGGATGCTTCTGTCATAATCCTCGTTGTAATTGCCATCCGACTGAGCCAAGTTTTCAACTAGCTCCCATTCGTCTTCGACATCCTTGTTCAGGAAATTCCCATTGGAGGCGGTGTCAAGGAGCATGCGTATCTTAGGCAGGACGCCTCTGTAAAGTGTGCTGAGAAGAGATGCTTCCTTAAATCCGTGATGAGGGTATTTGGTTTGATAACCCTTAAACCGCTCCCAAGCTTCACAGAAGCTTTCATTTTGCTTCTGAGTGAATCCGGATATCTCGTTCCGGAGTCTTGCAGACCTGGAGTTGGAGAAGAATTTTGCCAAGAAGGCCCGTTTGCAGTCATCCCAGGTCGTGATTGATCCCTGGGGTAGCGTCTTTTCCCACAGATGGGCTTTATCTCCAAGTGAAAATGGAAACAAGCGAAGCTTGAAACCATCTTCACTAACTCCATTGATTTTAGTAAGGCCACAGAGCCTTTCAAACTCGTCAAGATGATCTAGCGGATCCTCCATTGGTAGGCCATGAAACTTGTTCCCCTGAACCATTGCAATGAGACCGCTTTTGATCTCAAAGTTGTTGTTCTGTACTGGAGGTGGAACAATTCCATGACGCTGGTTGTGGTTGTGAGGGAAGTCACCAGCACCAATGTTGGTAGGTTGCTCTTGCTCATCTACAACGTCAGCCATTGTGTCGGTTTCTGTCTGTTCTCTTAGTTGGCGAGCAATACGATCGATGTTATCGTTGAATAGGAGGTTCTGATTTCCTTGTGACCGTGTATGCATGCAACAGATAGCAACCGGGCTATAACAGACGAATCAGAGATGCGTCTGGAAAGCGGGATGCAAGGTACCTAAAACACAAAGACAGAAAAGGCACAATGTTAGTAACTTGTGTAACAAAAACGAACTTGATCTTAATGTTTCTAATGATCTCAAATATAGCAAACAAACACCAAACTGGCAACGGCGCCAAATTGATAGTAGGATTTTTGTCAATTAATCCCTAAAACACTATCTTGTCGTTGTAGTATTTTAGGATATCAATCCAATCCGGTGTGATGCAAACAGATGAGATATGATCAGAAAGCTCTAAGTCAAGCCAAGCAGATAGTTGGTTGGTTCTAACAGTCCTAGTATGCAATAACAGAAATGAAATGAAACTAAAAGCAGGAATGGCAATAGCAGGCAAGTGAATGACAAAGCAGAAATGATAACAGGCAATCAAATGGATAAACGATTCCTAAGGATGGGGTAATCGAATAGTGTGGTCTACTTAATCTATTCAGGCGGTTGACAAAACTTTACAGAAGCTATCCCTAGACAACAAGTTCAACAACAGATTAATTCACTCCCGTGATAGAAATCCTCAAGCAAAGCTAGACACTGACCTAAATCCCTTTAGCGATCTCTAACTAAGCAGGCATTATCGAATCAACATGTTAAAGTCAATACCCTCTCTACAGCCAATCCCTTGGGGTAGAGTCAGATATCTCTGGAATTAATAGGATCCAACGCCCATTAAACGCCTTCTGAGCGCTGGACGTCTGGACTCATACTCCACATTAGCTAGTGAAATAAGCAATAAGAGCAACTAATCCAGAAGGGATTCTAGAATTCTAAACTCAACCACCTAAAACGACCAAGTAAACCACAACTATTCTATCCCATCCTCAGAAATACAGTTCACTACTCAGACATAATCAAAGACAATAACAAAGCAACAATTGAAAACATGATAACAAAAATGACGAAAGACTTAAACGAAAACTGAATATCAAATACTTGAAAACGAAACTACAAAGTCGCTATAAAAGTTATAGAGTCATAAAGTTTTAACCAAAGAAAAAAATTAAAAAAAAAAAGAGGGATGCAATACGAGGACTTCCCGGGAGGTCACCCATCCTAGTACTACTCTTGCCCAAGCACGCTTAACTGCGGAGTTCTGATGGGATCCAGTTTAGTGCTGGTCTGATCGCATCCATTAGTATATGGAATGCAATCGCATATATTCTTTTTTGAAGACTTGATGAACCATTCGCCATGGGTCCCACCCGCGATGTAGGGATACCCCATCTAGTCTTAACGAGCTTTGATGCATGAAAAAAATCTAAAACAATGCTTGAACAAGTAATTTTGGGTCCGTAATATAGCCCAAATTACATAAATGCCCGAAAAAGTACTTAAAGGTCAAAATTTGGGGTCGACAAAAAGTCAATGGAATAGTTCCATTGTCCTGCTTCTTTCGTCGGAGGGCTCTCTTTAGGCTTTTCGAAAAGGTATCACATGCCAAGTTTAGCCTCACGGTATAAAAGTTATAGACTCATAAAGTTTTAACCGAAAAAAACAAATTAAAAAAAAAGAAGGATGCAAGACGAGGACTTTCCGGGAGGTCACCCATCCTAGTACTACTCTCGCCCAAGCACGTTTAACTAAAGGTCAAAATTTGGGGTCGACAAAAAGTTAATGGAAAAGTTCCTTTATCCTGTTTCTTTCGTCGGAGGGCTCTTTTTGGGCTTTCCGAAAAGGTATTACATGCCAAGTTTGGCCTCACGGTATAAAAGTTATAGAGTCATAAAGTTTTAACCAAAAAAAACAAATTAAAAAAAATGAGAGATGCAACACGAGGACTTTCCGGGAGGTCACCCATCCTAGTACTACTCTCGCCCAAGCACGCTTAACTAAAGGTCAAAATTTGAAGTCGACAAAAACTCAATACATATGTTCCACTGTCCTGCTTCTTTCATCGCAGGGCTCTCTTTGGGCTTTCCGAAAAGGTATCACATGCCAAGTTTGGCCTCACTATATAAAAGTTATAGAGTCATAAAGTTTTAACCAAAGAAAAAAATTAAAAAAAAAAGAGGGATGCAACACGAGGACTTCCCGGGAGGTCACCCATCCTAGTACTACTCTTGCCCAAGCACGCTTAACTGCGGAGTTCTGATGGGATCCAGTTTAGTGCTGGTCTGATCGCATCCATTAGTATATGGAATGCAATCGTATATATTCTTTTTTGAAGATTTGATGAACCATTCGCCATGGGTCCCACCCGCGATGTAGGGATACCCCATCTAGTCTTAACGAGCTTTGATGCATGAAAAAAATCTAAAACAATGCTTGAACAAGTAATTTTGGGTCCGTAATATAGCCCAAATCACATAAATGCCCGAAAAAGTACTTAAAGATCAAAATTTGGGGTCGACAAAAAGTCAATGGAATAGTTCCATTGTCCTGCTTCTTTCGTCGGAGGGCTCTCTTTAGGCTTTTCGAAAAGGTATCACATGCCAAGTTTAGCCTCACGGTATAAAAGTTATAGACTCATAAAGTTTTAACCGAAAAAAACAAATTAAAAAAAAAGAAGGATGCAAGACGAGGACTTTCCGGGAGGTCACCCATCCTAGTACTACTCTCGCCCAAGCACGTTTAACTAAAGGTCAAAATTTGGAGTCAACAAAAAGTCAGTGGATATGTTCCATTGTCCTGCTTCTTTCATCGGAGGGCTCTCTTTAGGCTTTCCGAAAAGGTATCACATGCCAAGTTTGGCCTGACGATATAAAAGTTATAGAGTCATAAAGTTTTAACCAAAAAAAAACAAATTAAAAAAAAGAGGGATGCAACATGAGAACTTCCCGGGAGGTCACCCATCCTAGTATTACTCTCGCCCAAGCACGCTTAACTAAAGGTCAAAATTTGGAGTCGACAAAACATCAATGGATATGTTCCATTGTCTTGCTTCTTTCATCGGAGGGCTCTCTTTGGGCTTTCCGAAAAGGTATCACATGCCAAGTTTGGCCTCACTAGATAAAAGTTATAGAGTCATAAAGTTTTAACCAAAGAAAAAAATTAAAAAAAAAAGAGGGATGCAAGACGAGGACTTCCCGGGAGGTCACCCATCTTAGTACTAGTCTCGCCCAAGCACGCTTCACTGCGGAGTTCTGATGGGATCCGGTGTATTAGTGCTGGTATGATCACATCCGTTAGTATATGCAACGCAATGGTATATATTCTTTTTTGAAGACTTGATGAACTATTCGCCGTGGGTCGCACCCGCTATGTAGGGATACCCCATCTAGTCTTAACGAGCTTTGAAACATGAAAAAATTCTAAAACAATGATTGAACAAGTAATTTTGGATCCGTAATATAGCCCAAATCACAAAAATACCTGAAATATTATTTAAAGATCAAAATTTAGGGTCGACAAAAACTTAATGGAAAAGTTCCAGGGATGCAACACGAGGACTTCCCGGGAGGTCACCCATCCTAGTACTACTCTCTCCCAAGCACGCTTAACTAAAAGTTAAAATTTGGAGTCGACAAAAAATCAATGGATATGTTCCATTGTCCTGCTTCTTTCATCGGAGGGATCTCTTTGGGCTTTCCGAAAAGGTATCACATGCCAAGTTTGGCCTCACTGTATAAAAGTTATAGAGTCATAAAGTTTTAACCAATGAAAAAAATTAAAAAAAAAAAGAGGGATACAACACGAGGACTTCCCGGGAGGTCACCCATCCTAGTACTACTCTCGCCCAAGCACGCTTAACTGAGAAGTTCTGATGGGATCCGGTGTATTGGTGCTGGTATGATCGCATCCGTTAGTATATGCAATGCAATCGTATATATTCTTTTTTGAAGACTTGATGAACCATTTGCCATAGGTCCCATCCGCTATGTAGGGATACCCCATCTAGTCTTAACGAACTTTGATACATGAAAAAATTCTAAAACAATGCTGAAACAAGTAATTTTGGGTCTGTAATATAGCCCAAATCACAAAAATGCCAAAAAGTACTTAAAGGTCAAAATTTGGGGTCGACAAAATGTCAATGAAATAGTTGCATTGTCCTGCTTCTTTCGTTGGAGGGCTCTCTTTAGGATTTCCGAAAAGGTATCACATGCTAAGTTTGGCCACACGGTATAAAAGTTATATAGTCATAAAGTTTTAACCAAAAAAAACAAATTAAAGAAAAAGAGGGATGCAATACGAGGACTTCCCAGGAGGTCACCCATCCTAGTACTACTCTCGCCCAAGCACGCTTAAGTAAATGTCAGAATTTGGAGTCAACAGAAAATCAATGGATATGTTCCATTGTCCTGCTTCTTTCATCGGAGGGCTCTCTTTGAGCTTTCCGAAAAGGTATCACATGACAAGTTTGGCCTCACTGTATAAAAGTTATAGAGTCATAAAGTTTTAACCAAAGAAAAAAATTAAAAAAAAAAAGAGGGATGCATCACGAGGACTTCCCGGGAGGTCACCCATCCTAGTACTACTCTCGCCCAAGCATGCTTAACTGCGAAGTTCTGATGGGATCCGGAGTATTAGTGCTGGTATGATCGCATCTGTTAGTATATTCAATGCAATCGTATATATTATTTTTTGAAGACTTGATGAACCATTCGCCGTGGGTCCCACCCGTTGTGTAGAGATACCCCATCTAGTCTTAACGAGCTTTGATGCATGAACAAGTTCTAAAACAATGCTTGAACAAGTAATTTTGGGTCCGTAATATAGCCCAAATAACAAAAATACCCGAAAAAGTACTTAATGGTCAAAATTTGGGGTCGACAAAAAATCTATGGAAAAGTTCCTTTGTCCTTCTTCTTTCATCGGAGGGCTCTCTTTGGGCTTTCCGAAAAGGTATCACATGCCAAATTTGGCCTCACGGTATAAAAGTTATAGAGTCATAAAGTTTTAACAAAAAAAAACAAATTAAAAAAAAAAGGATGCAACACGAGGACTTCCCAGGAGGTCACCCATCTTAGTACTACTTTCGCCCAAGCACGCTTAACTAAAGGTCAAAATTTGGAGTCGACAAAAACTCAATACATATGTTCCATTGTCTTGCTTCTTTCATCGGAAGGCTCTCTTTGGGCTTTCCGAAAAGGTATCACATGCCAAGTTTGGCCTCACTGTATAAAAGTTATAGAGTCATAAAGTTTTAACCAAAGAAAAAAATTAAAAAAAAAAGAGGGATACAACACAAGGACTTCCCGGGAGGTCACCCATCCTAGTACTACTCTTGCCCAAGCACGCTTAACTGCGGAGTTCTGATGGGATCCAGTTTAGTGCTGGTATGATCGCATCCGTTATTATATGCAATGCAATCGTATATATTCTTTTTTGAAGACTTGATGAACCATTCGCCATGGGTCCCACCTGCTATGTAGAGATACCCCATCTAGTCTTAACGAGTTTTGATGCATGAAAAAATTCTAAAACAATGCTTGAACAACTAATTTTGGGTCCGTAATATAGCCCAAAACACAAAAATGCCCGAAAAAGTACTTAAAGGTCAAAATTTGGGGTCGATAAAAAGTCAATGGAAAAGTTCCTTTGTCCTGCTTCTTTCGTCTGAGGGCTCTCTATGAGCTTTCCAAAAAGGTATCACATGCCAAGTTTGGCCTCACGGTATAACTGTTATAGAGTCATAAAGTTTTAACCAAAAAAAAATAAATTAAAACAAAAGAGGGATGCAACACGAGGACTTCCCAGGAGGTCACCCATCCTAGTACTACTCTCGCCCAAGCACGCTTAATTAAAGGTCAAAATTTGGAGTCGACAAAAAATCAATGGATATGTTCCATTGTCCTGCTTCTTTCATCGGAGGGCTCTCTTTGGGCTTTCCGAAAAGGTATCACATGACAAGTTTGGCCTCACTGTATAAAAGTTATAGAGTCATAAAGTTTTAACCAAAGAAAAAAATTAAAAAAAAAGAGGGATGCATCACGAGGACTTCCCGGGAGGTCACCCATCCTAGTACTACTCTCGCCCAAGCATGCTTAACTGCGAAGTTCTGATGGGATCCGGTGTATTAGTGCTGGTATGATCGCATCTGTTAGTATATTCAATGCAATCGTATATATTATTTTTTGAAGACTTGATGAACCATTCGCCGTGGGTCCCACCCGCTGTGTAGGGATACCCCATCTAGTCTTAACGAGCTTTGATGCATGAAAAAATTCTAAAACAATGCTTGAACAAGTAATTTTGGGTCCGTAATATTGCCCAAATAACAAAAATACCCGAAAAAGTACTTAATGGTCAAAATTTGGGGTCGACAAAAAATCAATGGAAAAGTTCTTTTGTCCTTCTTCTTTCGTCGGAGGGCTCTCTTTGGGCTTTCCGAAAAGGTATCACATGCCAAATTTGGCCTCACGGTATATAAAAGTTATAGAGTCATAAAGTTTTAACAAAATAAAACAAATTAAACAAAAGAAGGATGCAACACGAGGACTTCCCAGAAGGTCACCCATCTTAGTACTACTTTCGCCCAAGCACGCTTAACTAAAGGTCGAAATTTGGAGTCGACAAAAACTCAATACATATGTTCCATTGTCCTGCTTCTTTCATCGGAAGGCTCTCTTTGGGCTTTCCGAAAAGGTATCACATGCCAAATTTGGCCTCACTGTATAAAAGTTATAGAGTCATAAAGTTTTAACCAAAGAAAAAAATTAAAAAAAAAAGAGGGATACAACACGAGGACTTCCCGGGAGGTCACCCAGCCTAGTACTACTCTTGCCCAAGCACGCTTAACTGCGAAGTTCTGATGGGATCCAGTTTAGTGCTGGTATGATCGCATCCGTTATTATATGCAATGCAATCGTATATATTCTTTTTTGAAGACTTAATGAACCATTCGCCATGGGTCCCACCCGCTATGTAGAGATACCCCATCTAGTCTTAACGAGTTTTGATGCATGAAAAAATTCTAAAACAATGCTTGAACAACTAATTTTGGTTCCGTAATATAGCCC